CATAATTATAGTTTTTAAATATATAGTGTTTTTCTTGCAACCAAGAAATATTATTATTCATTGCATTCATATATACTAAATAAATATATATTTATTACTCCCATCCCACATAAAATAATTTAGGTAAATTAATTTTAAAATATATAAAATGTAGAAGTAGTTATTTAAAATGTAGGCAAGTTAAAATGTATATATGTTAATTGTCGACTTGAAAATGATACTCCATTAAAAATACAACATATCGTATTAATTATTGGTAATATAATTAATATAACATGTCGTACTCTAGTAAAAAAATATATATATATAACATGTCGTACTCCAGTAAAAAGAAAACAAATTATAACATGTATTAATTATTGAAAATTGCTAACTTGAACATCATTAAAAATATATTCTTCAATCAGTACATGTTCTTCTTTACAAATTTAGTTAATTTATTTTAATTGTATGTAAATATTACCCAATTTTTCAGAAAATAAATTAATAAAAAAGGTAAGTTGTTCGAAGTAGATAAAGATTTGAAGCTATAGGGGATATACGACGAGGTGTCAATAATCGACTGTCCTTCGACTTTGGACCTTAAACATCTAATCCCTTAATCACATAATCCCCATTGCTTTAATTAGATTCTCCCATGCTACAAATGTTCTGTTATCCTCAAAATTATCTTAAGATTCTTAGCATGCAGACTTAAATAACATATAATTTCTTAGTTTTTTTACTTCAAGAAACCAATAACATGAGCCACACTCATTAAAGCTCTTCATCAATAATTGGAAGATTTTGAAGTATGTATCACACTGTTATTCTCTATATTTAAACATTCTTAGTTGCAAAATCGGTAATATAAACAGTATAAATTTGTGTAAATTAGATTTGGGCCCGCAATACACCCAGGCCCGTCTCTGCAATTGTTTCTCGATACATTTTTCTAAAGTCATTCAAAGTTCCACCTCTAGGGGTGTGATTTTTCCAGTCATATTTTTCAACTAAAAATGTAAAAAAAAGTCTCTTGAAATCATTTTCAGTAGCCGATTCTAGAAATGTTGTGATTTTTTCAATAACAGTAGATTTGATATGAGTTTTACAAATTGTTGATTGAATAACAAGAGATTGTGAACTATTTTAAGTGATTTTACATAAATTCCAAGTTCAATAACATAGAATTTGAGAAATTTTTTAAAAATCACCTGTTGAATAACAAGTGATTTTAAAAGTCACCTAAAATTCTCTAAAATACCAAGTCCAATACACCCCCCTAACTTATGATCTACACTTCTTCCATCATCTGTCTATAGATACCACATTCATATACGTTAAATATTCTCCGGAAATTGTGCAAGATTATTTGTAGTTCGGTTCTTTCTCCGAGTCAGGGAAAGGTATAAGTCGAAAATGTTTATCAGAACCATAGAAATCATAGAATACAATAACATCTTATTATATATATATTTTTTCATATAACATTTGCTTTGCTTATAATCTCTAGTGTATATTAAACAAAATTTCACCCTAAATTGTAGAAGAAAAACGCAAATGGACATTTTACAAGTTCTAAAATGTTAGATGACAAACTGAATAATTTTTAGTAGTATCAAACTTCTAAATGACATAATGTCGTCCTTATAACTTGGAGCCTTAATTTGATATATCACACAATAGATAGTTTTTTTTTTTGACCAATCCCACAATATATTACTTAAAAGACTGTAACATGTAATATGTGATATATATATATATATATATATATCTTTCCCAATATGTAACGATTCAAAGAGTAGACGAAACAAAGAATAAAGTTACTTAAAATAACAAAAACAAGGGATACTTGGGGATGTTTATATATATATATAAACATAGTCATTTTCTACGTTAGGGTATTTCATCTTTTTACAGCTCTCGTCTACAAACATATGTTGTGTGGTATAGACCGGTTGGGTCCATTTCTTGTTGTTGGATAGCTAAAGCTACTGTCTATTATCTTGTGTGCTTGTCGTTAATTCGTCTTCATGCTAAATTAGGTACAACTTAAACATTTTTAAAATAACCACGTGTTGAACTAATATTTTCTGGTCGATAATTCGTGAAATCTTATCTGGTCCCAATCCAATTTATACCGACGCGAAATCTCAAGACACGTACTTAACATTTTTATAACAATATCACTAGTATATCATCATTAAAATATCGTTCCCAATAAATATATTTGCTGAAAAAGGAATTTTTTGCGATAAAGAACTCTTTACACCAAACATAAAAAGCCAAAACTCAAAAGAAATATTGGTACTCATCATACAAATATAACTAACTCACATTTTTGGTGTGTAGAAAAATATGTCTAACTACCTCCATTTGTTATCCAATCTTTTGCTTATAAATTACTAGATGATGGGAATAATTTGAATATATTTTATCGTAGGAGAATAAAACTAATTTAAATTAAAACTTATTAGAGCATGTGTTTTTTAATAAACGAAGTGTAAAAGACAATAGTAAGATATTTTGTTAATTGACAACACCTCTGTTTGTTTTTTTAGTTAAACTTTCTATATATGTATGTATTTTTTTTGTCTCACGTACTTAGATTAGAGCTGGGCAAAAAAATCGGAACCGAGTTTCCGAACCGAAAACCAACCCAAAATATTTGATCTGAACCCAAACCCGAATCCGAACCCGAGAATTTAGATTTACTCTATTGGGTGCTAAACTCATATACCCGAAAACCTTAATCCGAACCCGATCTGAACCCGAATCCGAACCCGAAAATACCCGACTGTTTTATTCGAAAATCCAAAATTTTACCTAAACTTGAATTTTAACCCAAAGCCCGGATATTTGCCCGAAAACCCGGGTATTTACCCGAAAACCAGGGTATTTACCCGAAAATCTTAGAATTTATACGAACATTTATATAATAGGTATTTAGCGATTCATAAATCTATATCCGAATCGATCCGAACCCGAAAGGACCCGAACCGAAACCGAACCGAATTTTTTTATTTACCCTATTGGATCTTAAACTCCTCTACCCGAAAGATCCGTACCCGATCGGATTTTACCCAAACTTGACCCTCATACCTGAATGCCCAGCACTACTTAGATATATACCTAAATCTAGTGCATCGTCCTACCGCTTGGTTACCATTTTTTTGGTAAACTCATAATTATAGTTTTTAAATATATAGTGTTTTTCTTGCAACCAAGAAATATTATTATTCATTGCATTCATATATACTAAATAAATATATATATTTATTACTCCCATCCCACATAAAATAATTTAGGTAAATTAATTTTAAAATATATAAAATGTAGAAGTAGTTATTTAAAATGTAGGCAAGTTAACATATATATATATATATATATATATATATATATATATATATATATATATATATATATATCGACTTGAAAATGATACTCCATTAAAAATACAACATATCGTATTAATTATTGGTAATATAATTAATATAACATGTCGTACTCCAGTAAAAAAAATATATATATATAACATTTCGTACTCCAGTAAAAAGAAAACAAATTATAACATGTATTAATTATTGAAAAATGCTAACTTGAACATCATTAAAAATATATTCTTCAATCAGTGCATGTTCTTCTTTACAATTTAGTTAATTTATTTTAATTGTATGTAAATATTAACCAATTTTTCAGAAAATAAATTAATAAAAAAGGTAAGTTGTTCGAAGTAGATAAAGATTTGAAGCTATAGGGGATATACGACGAGGTGTCAATAATCGACTGTCCTTCGACTTTGGACCTTAAACATCTAATCCCTTAATCACATAATCCCCATTGCTTTAATTAGATTCTCCCATGCTACAAATGTTCTGTTATCCTCAAAATTATCTTAAGATTCTTAGCATGCAGACTTAAATAACATATAATTACAAAGTTTTTTTACTTCAAGAAACCAATAACATTGGCCACACTCATTAAAGCTCTTCATCAATAATTGGGAGATTTTGAAGTATGTATCACACTGTTATTCTTTATATTTAAACATTCGTAGTTGCAAAATCGGTAATATAAACTGTATAAATTTAGTCGTTTGTGTAAATTAGATTTGGGCCCGCAATACACCCAGGCCTGTCTCTACCCCATGGCAACATAGGCATTTGCCATGGGTCCAATACCATTTTCAAAAAAATTTAGTGAAGAAAAAGGGCCTAATTTTTTTTAATTTTTTTTTTATTAAGACGGTACTGAATACACCGGAGTATAAATTTTTATTTTTATATATACTAATGTTGGCTTTTTATAGTTTTAATTTAGTATTAAAGTGATATGATTTAAATTTTTAGTGTTTTTTAGATTTAACCCGTGGTACATGTTTAATTTAATAATTTAGTATTAGAAATACATCTAATCCCTAAAACACCAAATCCCCATTGGTCCAATTAGATTCTCTCCATACCTTGATAATTTTATCCCTTCACCGGCAACGCCACTCCACTCCTCTCTCAAACTTAATTTCCAAATACAATCTAACTAAATAAATAATTTAAAACTAATACCATTCTGCAAATCTCAAACTAAGACAAACCAAATAAAAGAAAGACTATAAAGTATTTTACTTGGTGTTTAAGGGTATAAATGTTCTGTTATCCTCAACAATTATCTTAAGATTCTTAACATGCTGACTAAATAACATATGTGCAACGATATTACAAAGTATTGTTACTTCAAAAAACCAAAACATGAGCCACACTCATTACACAACCACATCAAATCGAAACTCTTTTGTCTTCTCTAGCTAGAAAGTGCCATCTGATTTTCCTACAGACCCATTTTCGTTGTCTCATTTCTCACTTTCCCCATTTAATATTATTCAAAAACATAAAATAAAAACCACATAAAACAAAAATCGTTATCGACATTCTTTCATTGTATCCTAAATCCTCATCACTCAACTTGAGCTCGCCAACAGAGGTTTCTCCTATAAATACTTGTAGAACACTAACCTAAGAAATCATTCCAAACTTCATACCGAAAATAAATTGGCCTGAGTATTGAGCAAGATTCGGATTCAATTTCTGGTACTCTATTTTTCATAGTTTTATGATCATTTTATTATTTCTTGTGTTGTTAGTATTTTGCTTTTTACTATCATAAGTTTATTTTTCTTCATGATTTTTTACATGTAACTGTGTATTTTTTTTTTCTTTGCACTAATCATAAATCTCTCTAACTTTTTTTTTCCTTTCAGTGATATCATCGATGGCGTTCTCCGAAGATTTGATGTCGAAATGCTCAGAACAAATAAATGCTTATAAAGCCGCTTGTGAAGAAGACCCAGAACTCAAATCCTTTGATGCTTCGCTTCAGCAGAAAACCATCAAAATGATAGACTCACTCACCGTTGACACCAAGACTGGCTCGGTGTCCCCACACGAGGCACACATGAAGGTCTCAGAGCACCTAGTTGAAGTTACCCAAGATGTGGCAAACTTCATTATTAAAGTCGAAGGAGATGTGTGGGTCAACGAAAATCTAAGGTCTTTGGTCTTGGCCTATTTTGAAAATACCGCCAAGACTTTAGAGATTTTCAATACTATAGAGAAATGCGTCGATGATGCATCTATGGGCCAAGTTTACATTCAAGAGGCCTTGATTGAGTTTGAGAACGAGTCGGCAGAAAAGGATGATGGTGGAAAAAAGATGAAGTATGAAAAAACCTTGGAGCATCTGAAGAAGTTTAAAGCCAATGGAGATCCCTTCAATGGCCAAGTGCTCACGGATCAGATCAAGTTAATCAAAAAGGAGCAGGAATCCCTTGTGGAGAAAATGAGTGAGGCTATAGAAAATATTGAAAACGAAGAGAAATCAATTAAGAATGTGCTTTTCGGCGGTGCGTTTGCCCTTCTTGCCGGTGCATCGATAGCTGAACTTGGAACAGCCGGCAAGGTTGGCTTTTCCTGGGGGCTTCTAGTCTCACCACTGCTTGCGGTGGGATGGTTTGGTGTCCACAGTTACATCGAAAAGAAGAATGCTCTGAATAAACAGTTGGAAGATCTGCAGAAACTGAAAGATGTGGCACAATCGGCGGAGAGGGGTTTAATAATCAATGAAGAAGCGACGGAGACCGTGTCTAAATTAGTCGACGGGCTAGAAGACCGTATCAAACATATGTTTAATCTTGTAGATAATGCTATTGACCATGCAAAAAATGAGGCGGAAGCGAGATATGTCCTAAACAAGATCAGTAAGAAAGTAGACAACTTAACACGGAAAATCGAGGAGGTTGGTGAAAGTGTGGAAAATCATAGCAAATTGATCGTAGAGGCGAGACGTCACGTTATGGAAAAGATCAACCGTTTTGGATAACATTGATCCGTTTAAACTTCAACGATGTGTGTTGTTCAAAACCCATATTTTCTATGTTTTAATCATCCCATTGTACCTTTTTTTAAAACGTTATATGTTTTGTAACTTTCACCATCCGAGAGGATTGGTTGATATGTACCTCAATCCCATATTTTTCGTGAAATAAAGTTTGAAAAAAACTTGTTGTATTCTTTTCATCTTTTCACAATTTAAAGAGAAAATGTGGTCAAATGGCACCTAAAAGTGATACGTTTTATAATCAAATTTTCAAATATTTAGAGGATCATAACTCATTCTATCATATAATCTACTATACATTTTTGAAGTACATTTTAAGGAATTCAATCGGGTCGGGGTTTTTTTCTGATTTTGACCCGGAAATCTCAATCGGATATTTCCATAAATTTTGGCAAAATTCAAAAACGAAATCCCCTTACTATTAAAAGGGAAGTACAAATTGCAAAATGGTCAAATTTGGCCTCAATTTCAATTTCAATTTTAGATTTTGTTCTTTGTTAATCATAATCGTCAAGGGTAATTTGGTCATAAATTTTCATTAAACATTATAGGATCCGCGTGTTAATCACTCGGGTGGGTTAGGAGTAATTACTCTTAATCACGGATTCAAGTTTCTAATCGGGGTTAGCATCCAAATTATGCAATCTTAACCGTTCAACAATTTTTGTATATTTACCTTATTTTTGGTATCTAAATATGAGAATATTCGATCCCTAATAACTATATATTCGATCCCTAATAACTGCACATTCGATCATATATTGCATAATCGCTCGAAAATCGTATTAACTTATTCTCTTAAATCTAATCCTAACCATAACCAACTCTACAATATTCATCATTTATCTAAATATAGCCAATCATTCAATTCTATTCCAAATTCGAATATATATTGTTCATAGTATCTTTAATTTTATGCTTTTTCTCCAAGATATGATTTATAACCCACAGCGGGTGATTTATAACCCACAGCGGGTTAAACTATTTATTTAGTTTAAAATGATGATGTTCTAAATTTCCATTTATTCTTTTTTGTTCTGTTATTTGTTATATAAGAAATTAAATTCATAATGTATGTTTATTAGTCAGCTATTAATAAAATCTTTTTTTTTTCAAATTAACAATAAATTTAAAATATATGTAGATACTAATATATTTATAATCTTATGAATATTCTCAAGATTCAATTTTGTATTTTTGTTATTAACTTTCCAAAATTTTCCAAAAAATAAGGAAATATATTTAAAAACTTTTCAAAAACGAGATTAGATATTAATAAAAATTTATACTCTAATCAATCTAATTAGTTTAAGAAATCTCTAAACAAATCTAAATAGTTTCCTACATTTATGTTTTAATGTCGAATTAATATTATAAATATGTAAATATATTATAAATACTATCCAAATGTGATCTTACCAAAAAAGATTGTAATCTTTTAGATTTGATTGGATAATTTATTAGATAAGATTATATTTGATTAACCCTAAAATTATAGCCGACTCTCTTAACACTATAAATATAGTACTCTGATTTTGTTATTCTCATATCGTTCAAAGTTTCACTGCAAATATAAAGTTTTCTCGTCTCTTCTCAAAAAAATGGAAATAATTCATTTTCTTTCAATACATATTCTTTATATTATAATATGATATAAAGAATATGATTTCTATGATTTTTTATTTTTATTCTTCTATTCAGTGCTTAGTTTTAGATACTAGGTTTGATTATCATCAAGTCTTAGGTTTGGATGTTGATACCCTTTTAATAATCGTACTTTTTTGTATTAATTTTCTTTTCAATTTTGTTTTAATAAATCTATTCTATTAATTTTTGTATTAATTCTATCATCTTCAATTTATATGTCAAACTCATTCCAATTTTTTTTTCATATAAGGTCTATGAGTGGACAACAATGGCGGGGTGAATGATAAGTCAAAGAGGATATCCGGCTGGAGTTAAGGTTTCAATATTTAATATTTCCTGTAATTTTGATTTTGTCTCTATTTAAAACTTTATGTTTTCTAGCAATATGCTAAAGGTTTAAATATTATAGAAAATTTATCACAGAATTATTCTTTTTGCATTTGAAGTTTTAAAAGAAACAACTTTAAATTTTAATCTGTATTTTATTTGATGGGTTATATATACACAGGTTAATTAGCTTATTTTCATTTGAAATATCAATAAAATCTGAAATCATATAATTTTAATAATAATTCAAACTTATAAAGTCTTCTTTTAAAGATCCATGAAATTCCTGGTCAAAATTTTTGAATTTACAAAACAGTAAAAATATAAGATCACAATATTCTCTAGAAGATAAAATGTCTGTTAGACACCTGAAAACTATAATACTTTAACTATATTAAATTTTGATACAAATATATTAAATAATACACATGTTTGACCACATTAAAACACATTCTCCTATTTGAAAATTTAACAATCACCAAAAATAACATATGTTATAATTATAAATTATAAATTACCAAATACTTAATAGGAAAACCGAATAAAACCGATACCCGCGGAGTACCGCGGGTTGAATCCTAGTTAATTAATTTTTTTTTTTTTTTTTTGATCAAAGAATCCTAGTTAATTAATAAAATCTAAAATATATATATTTTTCCCAACTAATTACTATATCTAAACTCTTTATTTATGGTATATTCTTTACGATTTTTCTATATAAGGAAATCAAATAGATAATTTAATGCTAATATAACAGATTTGAGCTAATTTTCTAAAACCTCTCTACATAATTTATACATAAATACATGATTCTCATTTCACTTTTATTTGATCTTATATTTATATTATTTTGAATTATTATAAAATATATGTAGTTAATAAAATCTTAGATTTTTTTTTCTGCATATGCTATGATTCAAATGTTTTGAAATGGACATATATTACTCAATCGATGAAGAAAAAAAGTATGTGTAATCTATATTAACATTTTTTAAGAACAAATTTTCGCATTTAATCAGGTCGTTTTTTTCTGACCCGGAATTGAGTCATTTGGATCTTTCCTTAATTTCTAGAATTATCCAAAATGGGACCGTATACCACGGGTGAAATCCTAAAATTAACAAATCAAAATACAATTATTTAGTATTTTAAGATACAATTATAAATTGTTTTTACGGGTTGGTCCAAAAACACACACTAATTTGAAAATATATATATTATGAAAACCATTTGAAAGCAAAATTTTAAATTGACTCAAATTATATGTCTTTTAAATAAAATTGTTATTAAAAATTTAACAAAATGATGTTTAATTTCACGGGACGGAAATATATAGTGAGACGGGTTTGGGTCGATATTAATACGGAACAATATACCACGGGTAAAATCCTAGAATTAACAAATCAAAATGCAATTCTACAATCTTAAACACTAAACAAAACAAATACAATTTAACATTTTTATTTTTAGTTACAACGCATGTGATCCGCGGTGTACAACAAAAAATATTATACACAACAAATTCATCAGTTTATAAAAAAAAACTTAAAAAATCAAATAATTAGCTCATAGTGTACCACGGGTCATATCCTAGTTAATTACATTTAATCTGCCGCATGCAATATATATTTTAAAAATTCAAATTAGAATATCTATAATTTTAACTTTTTTGATCTATTAAATAGTTATGATATTCTTTAAAAAATATCAAATTAAAATATTTTTTAATGTTCCAAATTATAATATTTTAAAATTTTATTTTATCATATAAATTATGTATTTCAACAAAATAAATATATGAAATTGAATATAAATATTTAAATTCAGACAGTTACTTCGACAAATTTTTTGTTGAATATATTTTTGTTTAGAAAAAATATATCATTCCAGTATAGATTTTTGACCCGTTATAAAAAAACTTTCATAGATTGAACAAATTTATATTTGTTTTTAAAACTTCAAATCATTGCACATGCATTAAAAAATGTACTATTTTTTTATTATATGGATGATATAAAAATTTATTTGTTTCATAAAAATAAAATCATATAAAGACGATATATGAAGTACAAAGATTAATAACAAATTAATATGGTAAGTTAGATATCAAATCTTATATGTTCATTTAATAACCTAAATTACTATTTAACATTTTACCCTTAATGGCTATTATTAATAAAACCTATATTTGTAACGGACTAACGGCATTTGAATGTAAACATATATCCTTGGTAAGGTTATTTCCAAGATATACTTCCGTAAAATGATATAGGTGATGTTGTCAAATAACACCTAAAAATGAATTAATTATTGAGATAGCATCCTTTGAGAAGGGTTTACTCAAATATCACCTAAAAGTTGCCAAAAAAATATTAAGCATTTTTAAAAATCTGTATTTACATTTTGTGCCATTTAGAATTATATTTTTAGAGAAACAAATATATATATATATATCTAAAACACAAACCTAAACCTAAATTACATTACATCGTAACAAAAAAAAACCAAAATCTCTCGATCCAGAATATGCGATCTATAGGTTTTCTTCGATCTGTGAGTTTCGCTTTCTATACCTTCGATTTTGGAGTTGATAATGGTTCGTTGATGGAGTCTGGCTTCACACGAGGAGGTTTAGAAACTTTATCGATCCACAAAATCAAGCACTCGAAAATTCGCTCGAAGTGTTGTTAATCAACGTCCTAGAGACTGAATTTGATCCGAGTTTTTGTTTTTGATTAGTAAAATAACAAAAGGGGATTTTCTAGAAATTGTTGCGAGCGATAAAGTTAATCTTATTGACAGCAGGGTAAGTTTGTTGCTTCTTTTTCTAGAGAAAACGTCTTGAAAGTTCCATTTTATCAAAAGGGAAGCGCAATCGAAATTTTTTTGGATCTAACCCGATAACCCGATAATATACCCTAATTAATCGAGATTCTCTCCTCCTCATTCATTGTCTTCTTTAACCGTTTCTCTTTCAAAAGAGACAACCGTTTTCTCGATTTCAAATTCAAAATTCTTTATCAATTCACTCTCATAAATCTCTTTTTTAAACCGAGAATCTCCGTTTTATCTTGTTGTCGATTATTTTGTTCTTGCATACACCGGATGCTAGATTTTCAAGTCTCATAATGTCCTTAATTATAACTTGGAACCTTAATTTGAGATATCACACAATATAGATAGTTATTT